GATTTTAGTAAACGTAAAATTCAGGAACAAACTCACTAATCGGTTGAGAGACAAGCTAGGGAGAGACAAGCTTGTTAACCATTACACCACGTCCAAGTGCCCAGCCCATAAATGATTTTCTGAACGTGGCTTAGATGTTGCACAAGGTCAAAAGTGTGGCCTACCCAGTGCGTATCAATCTCACTACTCAGTCGTAAGTGATCTAGCTACACAAGCAGGCTAACCATTACACCACGCAGTATAATCCCGGTTAATGCTTATAGACCCGAATATAAAACCGGACAATATTTACCTGAAGACTGTAGTATAATTAAAATCAAATTCCAACATTAACTAATCCAGCAGTGGTTGACATATCACGCAAGAACCACTTTCATACAGATTTTTAAAATAAGATTTTATATTAATAAAAAAATTTTTAAAAAAATTATTTCAGATTTGATTGATAAAAAATTCTAATCTCCCATACATGCACGCTGACATACATATATGTTAAGTAAACGAATTTGTCATACGTTTCTATTTCTCTACGTGGGCCGTTCAAAAAGTCTTAAGTCTCACCCAGAAGGAGTTGGAGAAAGCAATCAGTTTTTCACTATTCTTCAATAGAGTCCCTCTTGACATCAATGCACATGATCCAACGATGCTTAAGAATTGCAATCCCATCACAGAAGGTGGCGTCCTGTTCCTCCAAAAATACCTTCACGGCATATATGATTCTATGATTGTTTCCAAAATGGCGACGACGCAGGTGAAAGTCTCAGAAAGAGGAAAAGTCAGATGAAGCTAAGTTTAGTGGGTAAGGTTAATGGGGCAGCAATTCAAAACCACAGTTGCCTGATTCAGCTACTGCAACCTGGGTAGTGTGACCGAGCGCGTTATCTTGGAGCAAAATCACACTTCTCCTCATCTTCCTTCTGCGTTTCGACTTCAGTTCTCTTAATTCTGATGCATAATACAGCCCATTAATACTTTTTCCCTTTTTCAGGTAGTCTATGATGATTGCGCTTTCAGAAAGCCAAAAAAGCAGAAGCGATGCCAACAAACGATGCCTGGTTGAACTTCTTCCGCGTGGAGAATCAAAAAGTTTCTATTGTTTGCTTTGAATCTTTGATTCAAATTCAATGTGTTGAACCCAGATTTTATCTTGAGTTACTAATTTCCGGTAAAAATTCTCAAGCTCAGCCTGGAAGCAAGTCAGAAGTGTCCTGGAAATGTCAACCCTGTTCAGTTTCTGCTCTGGTATCAGCATTCTTGGGGCCCATCTTGCAGACAACTAGCTCATCCCCAGGATCTCAGTTAAAACACTATAGATCAAACCAGAAGTAATGCCTATGGACTTAGCTATCTGCTGGACCGTTAATCGTCTGTGATTCAAAACCATACATCGAATGGGATCAACTTGTTCATAAATGGTTGAGGTTTTTGGACGACCTAGCAGAGGGCTATCTTCTGTGATATCCCTGCTCCGTTTGAATTCTGCAGCTTACTTCTTCTCGGTTACATAGAAAGGAGAATCATCAGCAAGTGTCTGTAATGTGTTTTCATGGATTCCCTTGGGTGTCATACGTTTCTTTTGTAGGTACATTATGACAGCTCGAACCTTTGTTTCGTCTATTTTTGTTATATTTGTCGCATAGCTCTCACCTTTGCATGGGCCTCACCTGCACAGAAATTAAGACAGAAACATGAATTAGTTTTTTAGTGGGGGGGGGGTGTTCAAAAAGTTCTAAGCCTCACCCAGAAGGAGTTGGAGAAAGGAGGAGTTGGAGAAAGAAGTCAGTTATTTTATAAGCTGCTGTTTTTCAAAATTATAAGAAGTGTTAGTGTATTGACACAAGAAAAATGTTTAGCTCTTCTTCTTGGTGAGGCGTAGAACTTTTGGAACAACCCTCTTAATTTGTTGTGTGTACTTAACAGAGAGTGGATAATGAAGGGAATGTAGAGACGGGTTTAAAATTATTGTTTTTTCCGACTAATGCTTATTTCGTTCAAGACATTGATTGATTTTTTAAAGTCTGATCAATCCTTATCAATAAAATATGTTTCGGCTTTAAATAAGCCGAAACATATGTTTTGGATTGTAAGAAATTTTTTTTTTGTGAGTGAATTAATAATTTTTTTTTTTTTTTTGGCGATAATGATATTTTGCCCATAGCTAGACAAGGAGACTCATTCATACCTCCCCCAAAGTAAATTTCGTGTAGGAAAAAATGTAAAGAAATCGACTTAGATTCGAACTCGGCTCTTCAATTTCTCATTCGGAGCAAATCCATTACACCACGCGCACATTATCACGTACAGATAACGGGGTATCATTTTTCACTTGATATATTTGACGGCTCTCTGGGTGATATTGATGGAGACCAGCTTCAACACAGGCGTTGGGACTACTTCTGCTTGTATCTAACGCTCACAAGCTATGCCGGAAAACTAACAAAGCCTCTGGTATCGTGAGTTAATGTTGGCGATTTTACTTTACATTAATATGTCATCATAATACACAAAGGATCTAATGTTGAAAGGTAAAAAATTATTTAAAAAAGAACATTTAAAATGCTAGTTTTTGTTCACAATCATTAAACTTAAGAACTTAATAATGGCGAAACAAAATCCAAGAACTTTTAAACATGTCTTACTTTAAGAAATTACTTTCATTTATTTTATAGAATCAGGAAAGCTAATATAAAAAAAAACACAAATTGTTCCTTTAGTTGTAGCTCTAATTAATATTTTAATAGCGAAAGGTACTTTCCAAAAGTTAAGCGATGTATTAAGAAACAGGAAAATTCAGTTAGAAACAACGAAAAGAGTGTTGAACTGTTAGGTAACATCAGCCCTCCCTTTATGGTAGTGCATGCTGGACCATCTCCGCACAGATAAAGAAAGATCTTTAGGTGATCAAAATGTGGTTCTACAGAAGGATACTAAAGACTTAACGATGAAGTTTTAGAGAAAATGGAAACAAAAAGGATCCTTATGCTTAACATTAAAAATATTTGAAATTTCAGGAGCACATAATGAGAAAAAAAGAAAAAGTAAAAAATCCCCCGTAAACAATTTAAATAGAGCTCACACTATTGCGATTGTCTGTTGGTCAAATGCATGACAGAGGGGTAGGGTTTGCCTAATATAAGTCAGTGTCTGCAAGTCGGTAATTTAGATGGGGGGGGGGCATCAGAGACTTATCAGCTCTGATGGGGTCGATTTGGTGAGGGGAGTAAAAAAGAAAAGTTTAAAAGACCCGAAACTGCCCAATGACCCAATTCAGAACATCACTGACGACGCCCTCTAGCGCTAAAGAGTGTATTTTGAAAGTAATAGAGCACAGATCGCTTAAGTGGTTTGTAACTCTACGACCGAATGGCGTCGTCCGGCCAGTGTAGTTTTATAATAAATACCACAATAATCACAATTGTATGGGGCAATGAGTTTGATAAATTACATTGGCTGTCTAAAATTCCGATTTGATAGGCGTGTTTTTCTTCCATCAATGTACAAGGGATCGACGATTATAGGCCCCTTTCGCGAGGGACCCTATATAAGTTCTACATGATGGTCTGGGATGATCGGACGTAAAAAGCAAGGAAGCTCGATAATTATGGAACGTTATTAGCTTGGCTTTGAAGGTATTGAATGTTATAAGCTAGTTTTGCTCTTATTGTGATGTTAAATGAAAGCTCAGCTGCCGGGCTCTTACCATTTAGATTTTGGGAAGTCAACCCATAAATTATGGTATCCTCTGAAGAGACACTTGGTAATGATCTGACAATTTTCCTCGGCCGATAGTTATTAAAAAAGCTGAAAGACAACGTTGAGGCACGCTTATATTTATCTCCTGGGCCTGAAAAGACTGGCCATTGACAACGACCTTTATGGCTCCAGCTGATAAAAATGATAATTTCGATGACACTTCGAAAAATACCATATCTTCAGAGTTTGTCTTGCAGCCCTCTATGCTAGACCTCGTCAAATGTCTTTGTGATGACTAAGACAATCGCTCTCATGACGAATTTATTATCGAATGCTACACTTATTTTGTGTCTAATGATACTTAATATATTGGCAGTGGACCTAGAAAAGCGAAATCCAAATTATTTGCCACTCAAGTGGTTGTTTCTGTTGAGGTGATCAACAAGCTTCTTATTGCTAGATTCATTTGTTGATTTGCTTTTTTACGGCTTATCAACATTTTGCAGGTTATTTAAAGCCAGAAAATATTTTTAGAATGTAAAAATGTTTTTGAGTTAATTGTAGAACAATCACGCGGTCAAGATAAACACTCAGTTGTGGAGCAAGCTGAGTGAATAATAGTTATTTATTCGTACAATAGTACAAAATGTGGCCCAAGGTCAAAAAGAGTCTGGGAAAAGGACGGTCTTCTTCTGTCTTAATTCTAAACTTAGCTAGTCACAGACACGAACCCAAACATACAAACAAGAGCCCTATCACCAAAACAACACATTCACTCCTACCTTTCTTACTGCGTCCACCATAATAACTCAAATTTTCTATGAAATCCTAACTAGTCCCCGTATGTACATTATTCATATGAGTGAATAATAACTCAACCCTAAGAAAGAGAGCTATTTATGGTGCCATGGATCATTGTGCTAAAGTGGAATAGTCCATTGCTTGGGCTGTGATTGGCTGCTGGTACATGAGTGGAGGTGTTTCTGTATAAATACCAGCTTGATTCATCAGTTAGTTCGCAGGGTTTGTATTGAGTTACAACCTGTTTTGTTTTTTTTTTGTCTGCCAGCTGGACGCTAGCTGGGACCCTTACACCGGTAAGTGCAGTTTATTGTATTGTTATTCTACAGTAATAATGATCTTCTGGTACAATTCTCACTTATTAACCCATAGCAGAAGAGGTAAATCCATGCCTTTCCCATTTGTATTCGCTCGAATGCGAATGTAACGAACACGACTGGAATTGGATCTCAGATCATCGATTTCAAGTTCCCAGTCGTTATCCATTACACCCAACTACCTCCAAGCTTACAGCACCTGCTACACCCACACGGTCACCCATCTAGGTACTGATCAGTTTCAACGTTGCTTAACCTCGGTGATCGTACTGGAACCGATGTCTCCACGTTATATGGCCGTAAGCCTCACTTCTTGTTGATCATAGGCTCAAAGAGTTTGCTGATGACACTAAGAACGCCAATGAGGTGATATTCCACCGGAAATAAACGTTCACTTTTTTTGTCAACAGGATATACAGCTGACAGCTTCCATAGATCCAGAAATCAAACTCACTCGTAATGGATTACACGACTAGCTTGTTAACTATCACTCACGTGTAATGCAAAATCTTTGCCACGCCTGCAGACCAAATATAAATGTCAGGTCACATACTTCCCCAAAAGTCTGGAAAATCACAGAAAAAAATTCCTTGATATTTGTATTGAATTGTGTATATCGTCTATCCAAGCATCATACTGTTGTGGTAGTTAGTATGATGCAAAACTAGGCTTGTCAATCTGTGTGCTGTGGCACCTAGAATGCGCTGTCTAAGTCGGATCCCCTGGTACAGTACTAACGAGCTTCGTAATCATTGTTCTACGGGAGTGATGTAATGAATATGCATACATCTGGTTTCCCCTCACAGTAATATGATTGTCTGGTGGCAGCCATAAATAGAGACTGATGTGGAGGTACATGGACTTCGCCTATTGCCTACGCCTATTGCCTACCATAATGACGAGGAACAGTCCATTACGGTTACCTGCTAGATTGTTCCTAGCAACTGGAATGTAGAGAACGCTATTTTCATATTGTTCACTGAAAATAATGTCAGTATTTGTCACGTGTGGAGAATATTGTTATTATATCTGTGTTAGATAGAAATACTGACGTTATTTTCAGTTAACAATATGAAAATAGCATTCTCTACATTCCAGTTGCTATGAACATTCTGTTTTTTTGTTTTTATTAGTTACCTTGTTTAATTAAATTCATTTCGTTTTGCTTTGATAAAGTCCACATTCGACGAAACGCGTCAGCAATTACTAGTTTTCCTATTGTCATTTTTATTCATAAATATTGTCTTCTCTACTGGTTAAATAGGAGACATTTTCATATATATATATATATATATATATATATATATATATATATATATTAATTTAAATAAAAACAGACCACTTTAAGGTTCCATGTAATAAATTATTTCACTACAGCCCTAATGATAGTTATTTATTCGTACAATAGTAAAAAAATGACTGCGGATCATCAGACTTTACTTCCAAAGGTTGAAACAAAAAATCTGTTTTTATTTAAATTATTTGCTCTGGATTTACATTGAGCTCTCTGGATTTTATCCTCCTTGGGTTTACCCATACGGATTACCTAGTTTTTCATAAATTATATATATATATATATATATATATAATTATTTTATAAAAAATTATAACATAAGTATGTTATAAAATCACTACAAAATAGCCATTTTGTTTCAACACACTCTGTGTCTTATCAAGTGATGATGTTGAAAAGAAAATAAATGGTTTTAAAAGTTTCAGATTAATTAACGATCCTACACTAGGGGGAAACATTGTTACAAAAGCTAGAATAACCAATCAAAAAACGAAGTATAGAAAGATTCAAAAGCTTGACAACGAAATCCTGCTCTAATAGCTATTCAGATCTTTTAATACGTGTAATATTAAAATAATTTATACTATATATATATATATATATATATATATATATATATATATATATATATATATTTTATATTTATGTATGTATTGAGAGAAAGAAAGAAAGAGGAATAGCTAATTTTTCAACGTTCCTAATGTTCAATCAACAGGCTGGGATAAACAAATCATATTTTCCGCGTTTGAAATTACGACTCGGCCAGTCGGTTCTGTGTTAAAGAGCGAAGGATTCAAGGGGAGATAATTATACTTATGTAACTGTCAAAGGAAAAAAAAGACGATGTCGACTGGCTGGCTGTCCGACACAAACAACTCAATGTGAACTGATAATATGACAGCTTTTTATGAATAGAATTCTGGAAATCCAGAGTTAAGAATAACTAGAGACAAACAAATCCTGGCGTCGTTAATTTAATCGAAGGTGGACGTGTCCTTTAATGCAGTTAGTGTCTAAAGATAAAAGCTATTTACAACGCCTGAAGAAAATGGATTTCCAATACGAGCCGCCCTCGGCTAGAAAGCATTTGAACAAATTGAGCGCCGTCCGTTTTGAAGGCGCTCAAAGCATCCAGCGTTCGTGAGCACGTGCTTATTTGTACATCACTACGTGGCTTGTTTTTATTGATTCTAACTTAATGCGCTAGATTGATTATTATTATTATTATTACTCGCCGAGAAGCATTTTCCAGGAAGGTTCGTGTAACTGTCATTGTTCGGTTTTATCGAGTTATGAAGAAGGAACTTTTAAATCGGAATAGAAATTGTAAATAAACTCGAAATATTGTATGCGAAATCTTATTCGAATCCGGGCCGAGTCAACAAAAACAGCAGAGAAAAAAAAATGCCGAATAGAAAAGGCGAGAATACTATTGAATCAACTGTCCGCGACGCTAGATTCACCTGATCTTAAACTATGCAATCGAAACCCGTGTCGGCGGACAGACAATTTAAACGTATCAAAGCAAGGAGAAACGGAATGGCTGTTCAACTTTTGCAAAATTGTTATTAACTGCTGCGACACAGCGCCTGGTGGCTGGCGCATCCAATTCTGATTCCTTTGTCTCCCACTGAAGCCCTATGAATATCTATCTAATAAAAGACGATACGTGCATTGGTCTTATGTAATATGCATTATCACGTGATACAGCGTTCTTGGAGAGGACATTGTACTCCGTGGCACGCAGCCAATGGGTGAAACCAGATCTCGTTAGCGAGAGGAACGTTTGTTTCTGACCCCTACTCACCTCTCCGTCCCAGACCAGTTTCTACAAAATTCTTATCCGGTCTTTGTGAAAAATTTTCGGAGCTGGGATAGTATGGCGGTGGCCCTAGACACGAAGGTGTCAGCGGAAGATGAGTGAACATCTCAGTCGAAAATAACTCCGATGATAAGCGGCTTGTAATACTATCACCGAAGAATTATTAAGCATGGGTCAAAACTCACGAGGGATACAGATGACTGCAACGACTGTCCAGAAAGAAAAGTTGTTAGTTGATTGAATCTCATTATAGCCACTTTTTCTTGTGGTTCAGTGACAGTTCATAAACATTGGTCAGGTAAATGTTAAAGATAGACAGACATCAGGTGACACTGAGATCAAACTTCTTTCAAGCTGTTAATGAGAAATGCTTAACTTGCAAAGAAAATTTAGCGTCTGACCGGCGCCAAATTTTGTTCGACTCCAGGGACAACTTGGCACTTACAATTTTGGTGTCTGCATCTTTATTTCTAGTATGTGTTCTCTGCTATCAGATACCTTAACACGGGTTTCTAAGCCTGACATGAAATAAAATCAGCCGTACATATGGGCTAAATGAATAAAGCAAGAAGTTTTAGACAATGTCCTGCTCATCACACGCACACATATGATTAAATAAAGAAGTAGAGTTTTTTTTTAATAAATTTAAAATGTTTCTCTATTTAGCGCCATCACAGATTTAGGAAGTAGGACAATGTGAAGTTTTTTTGTTTTTTGTTTTTTGTTTTTATTGGTTATGACGTCAACACAGTTAATGAAAGAAATACATCGAATTTAAAAGTTGAAGCAAGACGACAATATCCCAGTTTCCAAATCTCTGATGTAGCTAAATATATAGTATAGCTCAGGAAAAGCGACTCGTCTTCTTGGGCTAACATTTTTGACTGACATAAAATGGAAAGATTATATTGAATCCATTCCTGGGTCTGCTACTTGTTGACCATGTTTGCCGCAGTCCCTGAATATGGAATCCAGTGAAGTCCGTAATCTGTTCAATATCAGAGGTCGGCAGTGAAGATTCAGAGAAAGTAGCGTTTGTAATTCTTTAAGTCTTCGATATCAGGTTGGCAATGCAGACAATTTGGGAGAAAAAAAATGGCTGCCTTTATACACGTCGCATTGAATATTTTGAGCTTTCTGATTGGTTAACACTTCTATTGGGGAACTATAAAATGAGTCAGCTCATTTAGGCTAGCTCACTAGTAAATACATATACACAAAAAACTGCAACAAAACTAGGTCTGCTACTAAGAAAATTGGTTTAGTCTGTTGGCGCTAGATAATTTTTATCTACTTTACATATTTACAATCCTACTATTCTTCCATACTTAGAACATTGCAGAACATTGCAACCTCATATGGGCCTCCTGCTATATATTTAGATTCTTATAAAAACCCAAAGAAGAATCTGCAATATCATTAGTCCTGACCTGGCTTCTCGGCTTCAGTCGTTTTCCCACCGCTTAAAAGTTGCTTTCCTCTTCCATTTCTAGTAATACTTTCATGGTAATTGTTCTGATGAGCTTTCCGCTATATTAACAAGAGTTAATTTAAACGCAGTATTAGATTGGTAACAAGAAAACATCAATTTAGAGTTGAATTAGGTAGATGTAACCGTAAGTTCTATACTGAGAGTTCCTTTTCTCGTACTTCTTGCTTGTGGAAATCTTTTCCGACTCCCTGCTTTCCAGTTAAATTTGATCCTCAAAAATTTAAATGCAGTGTCAATCGTTATCTACTGTTTTCCTGATTACTCTTCTATTAAGATTGTTTTACATTTTCAAAATTTTATTTAAAGAAAACAAAACGGATTTAGCTTCTCTAGATGACTCTATCTATCTATCTATCTATCTATCTATCTATCTATCTATCTATCTCAGTCTTTTCATATCTATCTGAAATTATTCCTAGCTAACAACCTACATACCTATCTATCTATCTATCTATCTATCCATCTAACTCAGTCTTTTTATATCTATCTCAAACTATTCATATCTACCTATCACTGCTTTTCATCTATCTATCTATCACTGTTTTTCACTTATCTACCTATCTATCTATTTTTTTCATATCTATATGTTCATATATATATATATATATATATATATATATATATATATTGATGAATGTTGCATTGAATAATATAGACAACTTTTGTATATTTATTTTAAGTAAATTCCATTCATA